CCCCAAAACCCCAAAACCCCAAAACCCCAAAACCCCAAAACCCCAAAACCCCAAAACCCCTGAGGTATTTAGGTTATATAATATTTATAAAAATGAAGTTATCTAATGTCGGCAAGGACTTAGTGGTATCATATGTCACTTTTGACGGCATGGTGAATGCCTTAATGATACTAAACCAGCTGATGAATGGAGCGATGGCTAATTTCTCAAATCCAACAATGAACACACGTATGGGTGCAAGGAGAAGCTTAACCTTTTTCCATCGTCACTTCTGGATCACTGTCCTGATTTTCCTCATGGCACTAATGAAGAGGCAAATTAAGCTTCCAGGAAAAGAAGACTTACACTTTATTCTTATTGCTGGGACATTGAATGTGTTCCTAAATATGCAGTTGAATTCAAAGAACTTTGGTACTTTCACAGTGCCATTTACAGTTTTGTTTCAACCAATGTTCCCTGTATTTGTGCTGATTGGGCTCATTGCTCTTAGGCTTGATAAATGGACTCCCAGGAAAATTATTGGCTGCATTTTATGAGTCACAGCTGTTCTCTTCTATGTGACAATTTATAACATAAACGATGAAAATAGGTTCTTTAAGAACTTCTTTATGCCGATACACATGCTCCTGCCAGCATGTGGTGGTATCTCATTAAGATTCACAGTTCTCAAGAAGAACTTAGGAATATTCAATATTGCCTTCTGGGCTTCCTTTTTCGCAACAATACTTGCTTTCTTCTACTACTCGATGCACTATTGGGTGGATCCCCGTCCTCCGTTCTTCAGCCCAAGCTACCAGCTTGGGATCATGAGAATCGCAATGATTTGGATCTTCAGAGTTATCGTTGACACCTTCAGTTTCCTAACATTCATATACTTTACATCAAAGAAAAAGATTGCTAAAGCTGCTTGCTTTGTCACCCTAAATGGCTTCTTTATTATCATATTTAACATCCTTATTGGAACCTATGACTACTGGATTTATGGGTACTTGGCCTTTATTTATTCAGGCTACCTCCTCATTGCTTATGATAGAAAGAGAGTAGCAGAGAAAAAGAATAGAGGACTTATTAAAATCAGGTTTATGTCTTATATTGACCAGCAGCATAAAGAAATCAAGTACTCTGATTTTAAGTTCAACCCAGAGATGGAGAATAAAGAACTTGAAGTAGCAGCCAGTAAGTCTTGACAAATTCCCAGATCTCTTAGCTTCATTCCTTCAAAATTTGAATCAATAATCATTAAGATCCTTTAAAATTACTATTTCTGAGGTGTTTAAGATCTTACACTAGTTTTCATTAAAGTTCATCAAAAATTTCCTTGCAAAAATCAAAAACTTACATATCCTATAGAACAAGCTTCTCATCACGAGAAAAGACTGGAGTTGTCAAGTCTCAGCAGATCAGTTAGCGCAAAGAATGTTGACTTTAGGGAGAACTATTTCGATGATGCCCCTCCTGACAGAAGAACTAAGGTAAAGACCAAAGTTATCAGTAAAGACCAAGAGGAATGCTTACAGTAAGTTTATGGTTAACCAAGTTGTAGCCAAACATATCAGTCCTTAATAAAGACAAGGAAGAGCTTGGCTAGTCCCCCAGATTCTTAATATAATTTGTGCACAAGGTCTTTCTCCCAAAGTTTTTCGTGGTGTTCCGTTCGGACCTGTAATGGCTGCAACCAAGCCTTCTGGGCTTGAAGATCCTAACTGGGGTGGGGAATATAAATCAGTTTTTAAGTCATTGGGAATAAGAGATAGTATTAGCAATTACCTTATCGATATGGGAGTTATTTAACCAAAAAGAATTTTAAAGACTAGATATACTAAGGCAAGAAAGCTCATAAAGTGTCAACTTTCATATTTAGATGACTACAGCTCTGTGAAAAGGCTGGGCAATATTTGATACGGGATGAGGGTAACAATTTACAGTTTTTATTAGTAATAGAAGAGATTGCACAAATTTATCATCTTTTTAAAGTAGATAGTAGTACATTCGGATAAGCCCATTTGACCAAAAGCCTGCTACTCAAACTCTAGTATTTGCAAGATTTAGCAATTTAAGCTTTATTATTCTTTGATAGACTAGTGGAAGATAAAAGTATCGTCCAAAGACCCAAAACACCCATTAAGGAATTTAAGAAATATCAAATTTTACGGTAACAATAGATTCAATTGATTTTACTTGGCTGGGGTTTTGGGGTTTTGGGGTTTTGGGGTTTTGGGGTTTTGGGGTTTTGGGGTTTTGGGG